CCGTTTTTTTTTTCACTCTCGCGTGGCAGAGAACTATGCTCACTGACCCCGTTAGAGTTTAGGGTCTAGGGGTGTAGTAGGGTTTCGGAACCCCAATAACTCTAAACCTGACAAGATTCAGCGGCTGGACGGGATCGTTGTTGGTATCATAGGGAGTCAGGCAAATCTGGAGGGCTTTGGGTTGAAGGATCCCTCCAGCTTGGGTGATGTAAAGGCTCTCCTGTCCCTAGCAACTTGGGCTGCCACTATCTCCTTCAAGAAGTCTGCGAACGCCGACTCCTGTCCAAAACACACACACACACACACAAAAAAAAAACAAAAAAAAAGTGCGGCGCATTCGCAATGGCTTTGTGACCCTGAGTGTTACAGTCGATGAATTTGCAAGACCATGTGCCTAAGGACTTCTTTGGGACCTCCGGCTGTCATGGTTGTCGGGTGAACAATGGCTTCGAGGATTTTCTTCGTTTCGACTGAAGGGGCTTGAAGCTCAAAGTCCGAAAGCCCGGTGAGGGCTCTGTTTAGAGCAGGACGGACGGTTTCGGGTAGGGGGTGAGCGGGTTCTATGGGGTTGGGGACTTCAGCGTTTCAGGGTTTGTTGCATGTCTGACATTGAGCCTTCGCCGGCCATACCGCTCGTCGCAGCCTCTGCTCTGCAATGTACTGTCAGGTTCGGAATCCTGCGTTAAAATCCGATGCGCTCACCTGAAGCACCAAAACTCTCTAGTTCGAACTTGTGCTGTTCATGCCACTTAACTATACATTTGACAGATGGGATCCTCCTCGGAAAACAAGAACGAAGTTAAGTGATCGACGGTGGTTGAATCATGCGGCGATTTCGCGCCGTAAGTAACGTGCGAGTCAAAGCATGAACCCTATACACACTCCTGCGTGGCTGTCAGCTCGCAAGGGAGCAGAGTTTCCCTTTTTGACTACTTCATGCTTCATCCTAAACCCTAAACCCTATACCCCTAAACATGTAGGGAATCTAGTACAGCACCTTCACACTCGAAAGCCCCGAGACCCACCTCAAACCTGAAAGCCTCGACTCCAAAGCCCTATAATCCCTTACCTCTAGACCCCAAAAGCCTAAACTCCGACTCCTGGACCCCCGAAAACCCAAACCCCAAAAAAACCCTAAAGCCCTAAACCCTACGAAACAGCATCTAGCCGAAGCAAGAGCGCCTCAGGAGCAGCTTCCTGGCACGGGCGGCTGCAAAATGCTCAGAGGCTTTTACTTCAGACTCTAGAGGGCTTTACTGCGGCAGCCTTTTCGGTTTTCGGGTTGCAGCTTTAGGGTTTTAGGCTGTCTATATGTGGGTGGTTGTCAAAATTAGGGTCCCTTTTTGGGTGCTTAATATAATACGGCACCTAATATTTAAGGTACCCAAAAAAGGACCCTAATTTTGACAACCACCCATGTCAGTTTCAAGGTTAAGGGTTAGGGGTTTTGGGTTTGAGGATTCCGAAATTTACGGCCGGCTTTGAGGATTCTACAGATTCTACAGCCTGTAGTTACGGACGTAAGCTTAGGGCTTGCATCCCCCGCTTGGGGACCTGGGGTCAGATAGCACGTATGCTTCACCATGCTCAAGGGAACTATGACAGCTTCTAGTCCGCTGGCATGAATCCTATGATGGCGATAGCTCCTTTGATGCCGCGTGCGGCGGCAACACATACAAGTGCGGCTGCACCTCAGAATCTGCAAGTTGGAAATGCGAGGCGACAAACCGCGGCCTTCATCTCGACGTCCGCAGCCTTCGTCAGCAAAACGAGTTTGTGCATTTCCATGTCGACGCTTCGCGACTTGTGTCATGGTCAACACGGAGATCACACATGGCATTTCCGGTCCAAGTCCAAAGGTTCGGGCAGTCTAGTAATCGACAATCCCAGAAACTGCTACCATCTTAACCCCTCACAAATATAGCAGCATTTGAAGTCACCGTGATCAAAACCACACAAACCACAAGTCCGCAGCACTACTTGCAACACGACGCTTAGGTACCTAGCTCCTAACCCTAAATGAGAACACGGGGCTTGTCAATGATATGGATTCCTTACAATGAGGATCCTAATAGACTATTTACGATTCTACATTGGGGGCCCATGCACGCCTTCCGGGATATTCGGGTTCATAAGGATCCCATGATATTCTGCGTTGGATACTAGGATCCACCATTCTCTGAATCTGCAATGCAAAGTTGCAGTTGCTGTAAGGCAGGCACAACAAAATCCGAGACAGCGGCGGGCTGGATCTTGTCAATCTCACTCAGGAAATCCATGAACCTTCAGCCGCGATGCCATGACCGTAGCCGATGCTGTTAATGCTGCTGTTGTTGTTGTTGTTGCTACTGCAGCATATTGTGCCCTTTTGTCTGTGGTCTTTTGGCCACAGGCTGACTGCATCCACTTCTTGTTTATGTGCGATCGAATGCAACTGTTCGCTTGAGTTGGGTCTCGGCTTTGTCCCGTGCGGTTTATCCTTGACAGGTCCTTTATACTCACTCTCCCCCCTCCTTGCCTCAACCTTCCTTCCCTCGTCTCCCTCCCTCCCTCCCTCCCTC